CTCAGTCGTATATATATAAGTTATATAGTATTGTTACTGTTCTGTAATCAATGAACAAGAAAGAGAGAAATGAACTTACTATTTTCATGAAAGAAGTTTTCATTGCTTTTTATCTCTTTAATGAAAGTTATCTCATATTCTATTATCCATTTCTCAGTTTGACAAAATAACTCAAGAATAAGTGATCATTTGGCACTACGATTTAAGCCCAAAAATTAATGTCTATGACAATTGAGTTGTAATATTTTAAAAGAAAATTACTTTATTTTTTGTAGTCGGACATTTTATTTTTCTCCATTTTGCAAAATCTATATATCTATATCTAAATACACACACACACACACACACACAAAACATTTATAATAATTGTGTTTGTTTTTCGCTCTTTTTTTTATAATTTTATTAATAAAGTAACTATATTTTTATTTATTTTATTATATAAAGCTATTACTAACTAATCACAAAATCATATTAAATGATATTCTATTCTATTTTTTAAGATATTTATTTAAAATACTATTTCTTTTTTTAGCTCATTATGCATTTTTTTTTATTAAATGAAGTTAATCACTTTTAATAACCAAACTCATAAAATTCCATAATTTTAATACTTTAATTGGTCATAATGATACAAGCTTGCAAATATTGTATTATTGCGATTAATATAAAAAAATGATATGCATGTTAAATAGTTTATATTTATATTTTCTTGTTTTTACTAATGATAAATTACAACATGCAATATGTGCATTATCTAACTTATAATTTTAAATACTACATACACACACGTTAAACATATAAAATTATTTATATATGTGTATGTGCACATGATCGAATACTAGTAAAATATTAATCACGGGGCAAGTGTTCATAAATGTAACTAAATAATATAAAATTAAAATCCTATATCTTTGGGCAACAAAAATTATGTTGTTATGTTTAAATAATTATTTTATTTCAAATTAAGTATATTAACAACTTAAAGATTTTTTAGTCCGTGCAATACTTTCTAAAATCATTCATCATTTCATAATAACATATATAAAAATATAGATTTTAACAAAGCTATTCGAAGCAAACATGTGATGTTTATAGTATCTATGAAAGTCGTGGCTTTATTTTATTTTGATCAAACAAGCTTCACTAGTAAGAAGTTGTAGCAGCACAGTAGAATCCTGTCACCTTCTCTTCTCATGCCCAGCTCACAACAAATGGGCTTCGAACTTCGTGCTTCAAGTTAACCCACGTAATCGAACCAAATGAGTGTTTCTCATGATCTGATGTTGTAGTGAGTTTAAATCTCACCTGAAAGCTTAGTTTGTTAACATGTTCTGTAAACTGTAGTTTGCTTGGCACCACTTGAACTTCCAAACCAGCTGGAGCCTCGACGAATACCTCGTAGGTCGAGTATCGTTCTCCAACATTAGTCACGCTTCTTTTCACCGTCTTTGTTTTATCTGCTTCCAAGCCCGAAATAGCTATTGAAGGATAGTTCATATCAGAAATAAAATCAGGATGCGAGTCACAAGGGCAAGAAAAGTTGTGTGGAATATAACTCGACGCCATGAGTTTAATTGTAGATGTGCTGTAGCCCATGTTGCACAGGAATTGGATATAGTCGGTGGTTTCTGTCTCGTACACGAGCCCTGGTTGCAGTGAAGCCGTGAGACTTATTTCCCCTGACCCCATGTGGTAAGGGGTGGCAATCGATCCATTTACCGTCGTAATTGGGGATTGTAAATTGTTTCTATATGTTGCTGCAAATGAAAAAAGTTGCATATTTATTATTTGGCCACATAAATGTTAAACTAAAAAACTTTGTTTGAATAACAAAAGTTTATCTGTGTTTCAATTTTGGTACACGGAGTTCTAATTTCATCAAATTTGGTATCTAAAGTTTAAAAGGTCGATAACATTTGACATTTTAATTGATGATTTTTAATTACCCAATGAAAAAAGTTTGTGCCTGAGTTTCGAAATTGATTAAGTTGAAAAGTAGTCTTGTATCAAAATTGAAAATAATATCAATTTGGATACCGAATTTTAATTAGTTTCCATAATATTTATTTATACATATTCTAAAACCTGTTGTCATTATGGCTGATATGATCGCAGAGGAACTCCATGTGGGATGTTGAGATTTGATAAGTGCAGCGAGTCCTACAGCATGAGCGCACGAAAGAGATGTGCCCCATAAAATAATGAAGTCAGGTGGATCCATGCCACTTATCTTATAGTAATCAAATGGTGGATATGCTGCAAGGATGCCAACACCAGGTGCGACGACATCAGGCTACACAAAGACCAAAGATCTTCAGGCATGAGCAATCTTGTAAATAGTTACGAATATATCATATTATATATATATAATTATATAGAGAATTGATCATATGAGAAAGAAAATTAGTGAAAGAAATAAGAATAAATCTATACCATAGAATGCATGATATTAATGGTTATTATGAAGTCAAAATCTAATAAACATGGTCAAATATAGGATGGCAATCTCGTAAATAAGTTGATATACAGTGGTCAAACATATATCATTTACCACTAATTAAAGATAAATTTGTAATTACTCAAATATCTCTCTTTGTGGGTCCCACCACAATCAATACCCTAATATCTGCCCCATCTTCCTCGCACCCCCACACACATGCACAAACACACTTGCAGAGACCACCACCGTGCATCCATTCATCCACCTCGCAACCGTCGTTCGTCCGTCCCACATCCGCCATTGCAGGCCCGCCGTGCCGCCATGTACTTTCACAAGCCCCTTGTTGTGCACCCGCCGTTCATCAGCCTCGCCTCCGCCATCTCAGGCCGCCGTTCGTATACTGTCGTCCCTTCACAAGCCCGTTGTCGCGCATCCGCCGTCTCAGGCCTCCTTCGTATACATTCACAACCTACTACCTCGCATCCGCCCTTTGTCGCCGGCCATTGATAGTCTTCCGCGACATAGGGGACTCCGGCGAACCCGACGAGTAGGCTG